GCCGAGGGTGGCGGGGAGCGATCCCGGCCGGGAGCTCTGCCCAAGGCCAGCTATCTCGCAGGCAGTTTCAGGCTGAGGGGTGGCGGTGGAGGGGGACGAGGGGCATGTTTGCCTCTGCCTCTGTACCCGTTCTTTTAACCGGTTTCGAAACATCGTTGCCAAATCTGCCGACCGGCGGAACGACCGGGCGCGCCTCGCCTCCCGCAGCTGCCGCGGGGAATCCCGGCAGAGCCCGCTGCGGCCCCGCCAGTGAGCCCCGGCGGGCAGGCGGGCATGGCATCCCCGTCCCCATCCCCATCTTCGTGGATACCCGCTGCCAGCTCGAGATCCGGCAGGCGATCCGGCCGGATTAACGCCGGACGCTTTGAAATCCGGCTGCCGCAGTGATCCCGGCTCGGAGTGCTTAGGGCTCCCCTTTCAGTTGTTAATTCCCACTAAGCGTTTGTAAGTACCTGAGCTCACAGACCTCTGCGCCTTCAAAACAAGGGTATTCACGCAAATAGCTCCAAAATTACCCATCTGGGTACCGGCAAGACCAAAGGCACAAGCGAGCGGAGCAGTTAGAAAATAATTGAAGTAAATGGGCACTTTCTTTGCCACGTGAATTTCAGCTGGGAATCCCTTTGGCAGGAGCGGCAGTTTCAAAGGTGTCCACACCTGCGGAGCCCGCGCCCGCCGGAGCGCCGTGCCCGGGGGGTCGCCGGACGGGGGCGAGGGTGGCCCCCCGCTCTGCTTAAATGGTCCGGAAAAAAAAAAAAAAAAAAAAAAAAAAAGTAAATAAAAAAAGAAGCCATCAAAACAGCTTCCAGCAGAAAAAAAACATTAGCTAAGGAGGAAACGGCTGTGGACACCCCGGTGAGATATCTCCTCACTCCGGGCAGGAGGGTTCCCGCCATCGGTACCAGTCCTGCCAGAATTGCCCTCCTCGGTTTTGTTTGTTTAGCAGCTGAGATTTAGAATATACATAGCAGAAGGAATTACCTTACATTATGAAGAAATAAAAAAGATGTGACCTACATCTTCACCTCCCAGCCCACCCCAAAAAAAAAACTCACATCCCTCGCAATGGAACCACCACAATTTGCTTTTTGGTGACATAAGGACAATGTGAAGTGAGTGATCTCTGCACCGCTTCTCTCCAAATAAGTTCAGTGTGAAATATGAACACTGTGTTTTCTAGCACTGATGACTATCCTAGCACATTAGTGAGGGAAAATGTTAGCTTGAAGAATTTGAATTTTACAGATGAGTTCAGACAAATGAGTAACGTTACAGAAGATCGTTAAACAATATCACAAATGCATATTCTTTTCATATTGCTTTTTGGTTGTCTCTTTTTCTGGGGTTTGTTTTGTTTTTACTATTTTTTCCTTTCCCATTATTCACATCTCAGGCACTTACTGGTTCTCCTGTTACCCATGGCTATGGACTGAAGGGCAGAAAAGGATATAAGGAATAGGAAAAGGATCTAAATAAAAATACAGAGCTCTTAAGATACGACCCTTAGAAAGCAGCAAGGAACTTGGTGTGAGCAGTCAGACCCTGATGTCCACATGGTGGTGAGGCCTTGGTAAACATAACGTTATCATGGCAACATTTCTGCCTACTTTACACATTATTCAGCCCTACCCACCTTCCAATTTCTCTTGTATATAGCCTAAGGCGGGGGAACAACAGGGCAGGTAAAATACAGAGCCTCGGGATGATGATATCAAACAGGGGCCGTACCCTTCCACGCTGAGGATGTGTTCCCAAGGCTGTGTTCCTGCTGCCTGCAGGATGCATGTCCTTGGCTCCTGAAAAGAATGCCTGCCTCTGCTGCTCCTCCGGATCTCTTCCCAGCCTTATCTCCTAAATGACACGTGAGAGTGAGTCAGAGATAAGCAGTCGGCCCGTGAGGTATCACAGCAAAGCAAGGACACGCTTTTCCTTCGGCCCAGGAAGCTACGAGAGCCAGGGGCTTTTTACCCGCGGGGCAGATGCTGCCACCAGCTGCCCAGAGCACGGGCCACCCCTCCAGTCACCGACCCTTGGGAAAAGGGTGGGACCCCACAGGGTTTGTGCTGTGGTAACAGCAGCAGTCAGGACAGCGAGCAGTGATTAGGAAGTGGCAGACCCGGACCCAGAGGAACTTTACAAAGCAGGTTAAGCTGTGTTGTGTTTGCGTTCGCCAGGCAAGTGCTCTTAGTATCCAGCCTTCACCATATTTTTCATCACTTCTCTACATGGGGTGTAGAGTGGGAGGTTCTAAGGGATGGATTTTTAGTGCATTGCCTGTCTCTGGATGCTAACAACTCGGGGCACTTCTTGATGAAAGGTGGATATTGGCAGACTCTGAGTAGAATAAATACTGTTGAAAAAAATCCGCATTTGGAAAAAATAATAAAAAATCCTGCTGCAAACGTAGAAAACCATCCCTGCAGGCAGCCATTACACAGGTTTCAGAAAAAAACAGAGCAAAGCAAGCCTGCATTTCAGGCTGGTAGCAGAACAGCTCTGGAAGAAATTGTCCATTTTGTTTCACCTTTCTCCTCCCGAGGTTTTGGGTCTCGTCTGTCACATTTCACCATTGACCAGACCTCACTGAGGAGCTGTGGGGTGGGTGGTGCCCCCGAGGGCAGGACCCGGGTGGGGAGCAGCACCAGTGCCCGCTGGGGGGACACCAGTGGGCACCACTGTGAGCCACTGTCCCGGTTCGCTGAGCACTCCGTCGGTCCCTGGGGCTCCCCGGTTCTGGAGAAAGTGGCCAATTATTTTTCTGTCTGAAAGAGTCTGTGATGTGGCAGAGAATGACAGCTCCAAGGGAGAAAACACCTCTTCATTAAAAAGTGCTGCTAAGCACACTGAATATCCAGATCCCAGCACCCAGTTGCACAAAGGTTAGGATGAGAGCCAAGAAATTACGCATTTTCACAGATATTTTCGTTCACACACACACATAAATATGTATGTGTGTACATTGTACACGCAGACACACACATGCAAATATCTACAGGCTTGCTTTCAACACAGGGTGGCCAAAGTTCCTATTGAAACAAAACTCCTGCTGAAGCCAAGTTTTGCTCTCAGTTTTGATATGCTATGAATCCCCTAGAAAAAAAAAAAACAAACAAGAAACCACAATTAAGTTGGTTACCAAATGCAAGAAGAGAGTCAGCTTCATGGAAATAAATGATTAGGCATTTGTTGAGGAAAATATTAAATAGAAAAGAGAAAGTAATAATCTCTGTTTTGCATACTTCTCTTTGAGATGCCACAGGAAGAAAGGGTCAGGCTGCTACGTTTTGTAAATTTCATTTTATTTAATTTCATTTTGGTGATTTAATGATTGCAGGAATTCATTTTAATGAATGAGAAAATATTTCTACCGGTTCTATTAAATCTGGGGGAATATTACAACTGAACTGTAATCCAGGGGTACAGTGATGAATAAGGAAGTTATATAATAACTTCTTCCCCTCATGAGCAATTTACAGAACATAACCATTTGTTTTCAATAAAGATCTTAAACCACAATCACTTATTTTCAGTAGAAATTTAGATTTTACAATGATGCATCTTTGTTACCCTCTTGCAATGCAGAACTACTGGGGTTGATTCTGTGATATTCACATTTGATTGTTTTCTGTTTTAAATGTGTGCAAACATAACCATAACATAATAGTGCTTTTCCATGCTTAGCATATTCATCACCTTATCTTCCTCTCAACTTCTTAACTTGCATGCAAGAAATCTGTTGTTAGAGAGAGTGCAATCTGCAAGCCAACAAAATCCTGTCCCATGGGGGAAAGGACTCAAAGTGGTACACTGGTACCTGTAGCTCAGATGAAGAATATGAAGTATGTACAAGAATCAGATCCCACATCATATGAAAGGCCCACTGTCTGAGTAGAGTAGTGCCAGGTAGAGAATAACTACTGCAAGAAGCAGTGAAGAGACTCTGGTTGCAGGTCCACTAGGTATTGGCTTTATTGACAGAAGCAGGCCATGAAGTCTCCAGTTCCCTGGTGGCTGCCTGCCTACTCCTATGGCTCAGGTCTCGACCCCTCAGTCTGTATGAACATTTGAAAAGCTGGGCTGTAAATTAACCTCTGAGGGAAGTTCTACTTACTAATTACCTCCTCCCAAAAGAGTGTGATTTTAACCATGATTTTTTTCATTTGGTGATCAGTGCAATCTTACCAACAGCTGCATCAGCACAATGAAGGCAACAAACTGCATTCCAGAAACAAAACCAAAACTGTAGGGTAGAAACTTCCTCCATTGGTTTCACAGGCATCCTGTTGAACCCTCCCTCACAGATGAGCAGTGGCAGGTTGGCCAGGTTGTTGCTGGGTGCCCACCTTCAGCACCCAGGGCTGGGTCTCTATGATCAGCAGGGGTGGATCTGTGCACTGCTCAAGCACCCGTGGTGCTCCTCTGACCCAGTTTAGGCTCAGGCAGGAGGTCACATTTCTGTCAAATTGGTCCACACACCCATTGGAGGTTTAGCCCTCTGCAGGTGAGAAGGCAGCACCTGGCTCAAGGCAAAGGCTGCTGGTGCAGGGTCAACCTGTTGCGATGTTTTGAAGAAATCAGAGCCCAGGCATGAGTTTACTGACCACCAGCTTGAGGCCCACAGTGCTTCTGATTTAGTACTAAGAACCTTAAAACCAGATTTGTGGAACCATGGTCTGATGGGCTTGCAGCTCCTGACCCACTGTAGCATCTCAAGACATAGGGAGATAAATGATGATTTTCTTGCATGTGTTGCACCCGTGACTCTGGCTGTCTGACAGCTGGTCTGGCCACAGCACAGCTGTATTCATGGCAGGGGCTGGGGCAGTAACACTGTCAGCTCCAAGCAGAGCAGCAGCTAGAGAGTTAAATCAGTCAGTGCTGATTTCTCTCCCCAGATTTGATCTCAAACACCCAGGACAGAGGCAATTACACCTCTCTGAAACAGCTCTCCACTGCCTGCCTTCCTCTATATTCACTTGCATAAAACCCAGAGTCAAAAATTTGCCAGTTCAGAATAGTAATAGGCAGTGGCAGATCACGCCTAGTTGCACTTTCTGTCTCTCTCACCAAAGTGTAATCTAGTGGTATCTGATATGGCTAAGAGCTAGAACGATGATTTACTATGCTTGGTTAGCATAAAGCAGCTCAGGCTGCTGAAGATTCACAGCATTTTGCTTTGGGGCATGCCCTTTTCATCACTCCTATTCCCAGCTGTGGCCTGGTCAGGTAAACTGGTCCAACCATTGCTGGGATCTCCTTGTCAGCCAGAAATCTAAATCAGTGCTTAAAATTCATGCTCATGTCCCCGTCCCCTGGTGGTTGTGCAAGGGGTCATATGCTGTACAGGGGCCAAAACCCATTGCAGAGGGGCGAGGTGACCCCATGAACCCCTATGAGCCCTAAAGCATGCTGAAACTGCAAACTTCTGTAGATGCACTTTGTGCCCCTTACCTGAGAAAGGCTTCGCCAAATTGTCTTTGATTCTGCTCCCCATTATCCAACCTCTCCTTCCAAATGAGTCTGCCAGAGACTTCTTGTTTCTCCACAAAGATGCAGACTGTACAGTGCTAGTCAGATGAAATTTGCCTCAGTCTCTTTATTCAGCTAGTGAAAGGTCTGTGTGAAACTCTTGAACCTAATGCAGAGCCTATCTCACTAAGCATCAATAGTTTTCAACTGATACATCTAAAGCACCCCCAAAAGTTGACTGGGAAAATTATGTTCAGCCATGTATTATCTTCGGTAAAACTGCAAGAGTTTCAGTAATATATTACTTCTTTCAAGAATATGTTGCAGTTTCCACAGAAAATATTCAAAGGTCTGTGAATTAGATGCGCTCACCTCTGCTGTAGTGAATCCCTCACAAACACAGGTGAACAGCCTCCAAAGGAAAGAAGACCACAGTAATATCTATTAAATCCTGATTCAATACGTAACTAGCCATAGCTTGCTGCTTCTGGAAATTCCGACTTAATAGAAGTTGAAAACAGTTATGAAAAACAAGAGGTAGAAATGATGTTTGTAAAAAGAAGAACCAAAAAATGCTTTGTATAATACCACTACAAAAATTTAATCAAACAGAAAAGATTATATAAAAGCATTAGGTATAGCCAAACTGCTGTTAAGGCAGTCTGCTTTAAAACATACACGCAGGGACATTCGAATTCTGACAGCTGAAAAAAATTTCACAATTACATCAACTTTTCAGGCTGAACTGTTACTATCATTCACAGGAAAATAAACCAGTGAGTAAATGAAAAAAAAAAATAAAAAATTTAAGGTTCGCCCCATCATATTTCTCAATAGCAACGAGAACAACTTTTCCTGGTTGTGACTGACATGAATATGTCAGAGATTCACTGGGGTTGAAACATCTCTGCTAAGTTTAGCTGCTGTGTTTTTCCACACAGCCTTATCCCAACCCTTCCATCCCTCACTGCCTCAGCAGGTCCCACCCCCAGAATTCCAGCTCCACCTTTCCTACTTCTGGTTTTTCAGTGTGGGCAAGTCTGTGGTGCAGGCATCCTTATTATTGACATGCATGGTCTTGTGCCAGTGCAGCTCCATCCCAGCACCCAGGCTTAAACCTACTTCCCACCTTCCCAGGAGTACCCTGTATCTGTGTCCTGCTGTCCTGTGAGCTGCACTGTCTGTGTGTCCCTGCTGGGGGTGACCAAGGTGGCTGCATGCTGAGACAAGCCCTAATGTCGTCCCACAACTGCTGGTACCCCTGCATTGCCCCATCAGCATCTCAGCACATCACATCCAGGGAGCTGGTTTACCTGGTGGGTATATCCAGCTAGGTTTCCCACAGCCAACACTGAAATACTCCAGGGTATATAACTAGCTTTTTATGGTCTCAACACTTTAAACTTCCGCTGGAGGAAAAAGCGGAGCAGATGGTGCCTGGACTGGGAGCAACTCACCTTTGACGTCTTCTGAAAGCACAGCCTGGCCATAGGCCACTAGCAGTTCTAAATAGCCTGAGCACCTACATCTCTGTCCTTTCCTGCTATTACTCTGGCTCTTGTTGCAGCAGCCAAATGACAGGGTTTGGCCACCAGTGCTGATGCCCTGGAATTGAAAATGCATAATGTTACAAATCGATTATGCTACATTCCAGTGGACAGGTGCAGAAGTAGTCATAGGTTGAGCTTGGCTACCTTACCTGTCTTGGCTACCAAAATAATTTGTCCTTCTTTACACTGAAATAAGGACAAATCTTACTAAACAATCTCTTATAGATAAATAGGTTTTTGAGAATAGTGATGGCAGTTGGAATACAGAATTAAAAAACCCCAAACTCTTGGTCATGTAATTTATTTAGAAGAAAAAAAAAAGTACAGGTTTATTTTCCTACCTTCTCCTTAACCCCTACAGGCTGTGATATCACATGTGTAAATTCAAATTAGCACCTCTCCCATCTGGATTTCTGTATATTTAAATTGAAGGCTTGGAATAACATTTTCCTCTTTAGAATAAATGCTTGTGAGAAACTACCATATTTGAAGAGCAATGGGTTGGGTTGATGACCCATCCAGGGCCCAACTAGGAAAACCAAAGCCAAATCTAAAATTACTTTTTAGGATTTTTTGTCACGTTTAGCTTTCACAGCCTGAGGAGACATCAGCATCTTTGAAGGCAAGGCATATTAGCTGATAAACATTTTTCTGCAACTTTGTTAAGCCCTTATTTTTACCAGAGGTATGCCCTGCTATCTCTAGCTGTTTTTTCCTCAGTCCCCTGTGCAGCTGGGCACTGCCAGCAGCATTACCTCTTACCTCTGGGGCATCCTGTCCCATGGGGAACCATGGCAGCTGCTCCACTCACTCCCCTCCCCACTCAGATCTCCTCTGTGAGACAGGAGGGCAGGTGTGGGTATAAAGGGATGGGTGCCCCTAATGGGAAAACCAAAACACCAAGAAAAAACCTCCCTAGACACTCACTGCAACAGTAACTGGGGCAGAGGAGAGCATCACCAGAGCCAGGCTGCAATTGCCCTGCTGACACCCTTCTTGAGAGAGCTAGCACTTCCTACCTGTCCCCTTTCACCCTGGCAGATGGGCTGAGCCTGAGCAAGAGCTTGTGATTTTCCTGCACATGCTCCACTCAGCTGCAGAAAGGTGTTAGAGTGAAGTCCTCAAAACAAAAAGCATCAGTAGGCAGCACCAGCCTCTCCCTCTCTGCCACACTTTTGCTTGCAGCTTCCCCCAGCTCATCCTCCCCTCACAGCAGGGCAGGAATCAGAGAGGAAACTCTGCTTCACGATTCTCAAACAGATGCTCTGCCAGAAACCCACCAATGAACAGAAACAGCTGCTCGAGTCTTATCCATGTAGAGAAACAGGGAGAAAGTTTTCCCTGGGCTCTGGCTACCCGGACCCCATCCCTCCCCTCCGTGGTGCCAGCACAAGGAGCAGGAAGCAGCAATCGCTCAGCAGATTTGCCTCAGCTTGTTTTGGCTGGTTCATGGGAGGAAAAGCCTCAGAAGTCAACTGGCACAGCTTGAAAGGAAATCCCAGCGCCCCCCACCCTCATCCTGCCTGGTCCAGGCTCCAGTGCCTGTTCCCAAACCCAAAGAGCTCTGCTGCACTAAGATGGGATGCTTTGTTACATGCAGCTTCAGACTAGCTGCGCTGTAACAATGCTTCACTAGACTTCAGATGCTGTGGATCCCCACTCTGTCTACACAAGGGTAAGGGGAGAGCTGGAATTCCTGGGACTGTCCTGAAACATGGACATGAGCAGCTGGAGGAAATGCTGCTGCTAGTGCTAGGTGGTCAGCATGGGGTGCAGCACAGTTTCAGCAGGAGAGCAGGGAGGAAGTGATGGGCTGTTTGCTGACACAATCACAGCTTTTTAAAACAAGCTTATGCTGCAAAAGCCAAGACATCACAGATGATGCTTTTCAGCATGCTGCTGGCTGGTGTGGAGACTCCCAACAAGTGCAATTCAGAACAGCTCCACGTGAAGACATGCACTGGAGAGCAGACAGAAACCTGGGGCAGGATGCTGCAACCCTTGGGCCAGAGGTGAAGCTATGGGTGATGGGCCAAGTGGCAAGATAAACCTATGGACTTTCAAGGACTCTCCCTTCCTCCATCCTCGCCTGCAGCAGCCACTTGCATGCTGCAGGGTCATTTCTTGCTCTCAGGTAAAGTTTTTACCTGACTGGAACTGGTGACAGGTTCTTCCCAGCCTGGTGCCATCAGGCCAGTGGGAATCTGGTCTCACCTCTTCAATGCAGAATGATTCAGATGCTGCATCTATGCATGGCTGGTGTTCCTCTCCCTCCCAACGCAACTGGAAAGGCTCCTTCAGCTGGCCAGGTGGTCACACAGCCCACATGTCCCCATATGCCATGGGGCAGCCACAGTGCAGGAGAACAGTGCGGTATCATTGTGAGCACAGCAAAGACTCCAGCAGCTCTCAGCCATGCTGGGTCTCAGCCAACAGCTGTGCACCTGCAGTATGCAGAGTCCAGGCCTTGCCTACTTTCATGCAATCAGGAAACACAAATATGGACATCATGGACAGTGGGAGAGAATGTAGCCTTTTCATAGCAGTATCACTACCTGTAGAACATATATAAATTCCAGCATGTTTCTGTACATTATGCAAGTCACGTTTTTTCCCCAAAAATGAAGCCCCAAAAGAGCTGAAGTTGATGAATTTCTGTCTCAAGTGGTTACCCCGTTCCTCCTACACCCCGCTCCTCCCTTTCACTGCTTTTGTCTCAAAGACTCCTTCCTACACTGAACTCCTGGTTGTTCATGTTCATGTGTGATTACCTGTATGTGTGTGATTTACCTGTAGCCATTCACAGGAAAATCATGATTTACTCCGTGTTAACATTTTGCCGAGTTGAGTGACGACCAGCTTACCAGACACTTTGCCACTCTTCCTTCAGATCTGATGTTTTCCTTTAGAAAATGCTCCTGCTCAAGCAGAAAGACCGTGGTTTATGCAGGACTAACAAATACTACAGCTTGTGTTGCAGAGAAAGGAGGCTAGAGGCATTCAGAGGTGATTACCAGTTTAGGCAGCCAAAGCCACCAAGTAAGGCCACAATTCTACTGGATGTACTCAGTAGTTTGCTGAAGCCAGACCTTGGTGTCCTGCTCACACCTCACTGTGCACTCTTACTGCCAAAAGAAGTGTTTGCTCGTTTTCTTGAACTCAGGTAAGTCTTTTTGTAGTTAATCAGCAATATCTTGCGCTTCTTGAAAGATATGTTAATATCAACATTCCAGCCCTTCCAGCAGTGTTTCCAGCTCCTATCTCTGATTCATTCTTCATTTTTGTCAGGAGGAGCTGAGACAGCAAATGTTAAGTACTGCAATTATTGTCTGTTGTTACTTATCATGGGTGGTTGCCCAAATACCCAGGGTTGGAAGCACCTTTAAAAACCCAAAACAATCAAGCCCATCAACGATTTATCTATATGTTTGTTAATACAATGGAACTTGATCCAAAATAGCATACAATGAAAAGACCATATGTCTTCAAAAGAATTTCCTTTTGACCACACACATAAATGTCAAATTATTTGATTAAAGGAGCTGAGATTCTGCACTTAATTTATTCCTGGCCTACTGAATGTTTCATCACAGCAAATGTTTGAGTTTTGTTTGTTGTTTTTTTTTTTTTTTCCCTGAGGACAAAGGAAAATGTTTTTGCTGTGTTGTTCTATCCACTTCCTTAAGCAAGAGGAAAAATAATTTTGACTTTGCTGGGATTTTGAATAAAGTTACACAAATCTGCTGATTTTATTAATGCAGTTTGAGTCTGTCTGACAATTATTTAAAGCACCTAACAAGGTTGCCACCACTGGGTGCTGATCATATGGTACATTTGGCATATACAGTGCTCAGGTCTGAACTGATGACACAGTAGGTCCAGCATTGTTTGACTGGCTCTTACTCTGGCTCTGGGGAAGGCAACTGCAGTGCATTCAGGAGCAGGAAACCCACGGCAGAGCTAGCTGAAAAACAAGCAGAGAGGTGGGAAGGATCAAGTTCATGGCATAAGGAAATACTCTACAAATCATCAAGAGACTAACTGGATGGCCACAAAGAGATTTTTGTCAAGGGTTTTATGCAGCTAAAATCAATTCATTCACTTCATCTGTTTTGAACATACTGGAGATGCAGCTAAAGATGTCACAAATGGTTAGAGTTGCCTGGAAACCTTCAAGGTGTCAATTGACCATATTTTTAGGTGCAGGAATGTTACATGGACACACCACAATTTCACCAGTGATTTGTTTAAAAAACGAATGGAGTCAGAAACCTACAAGGGAATAAAAATATCAGGAGAGTGAAGCTGAGTTGAAGCAGGGTAACTCAAAATCAATATTTTGCTTTTAAACTCTTAAGGGGAGGCCCAGGAGGGCTGCACTCATTTTGTCCTCCTTCCTTATTGTCCTCGGAGGATTGGCTGAGAAGTGACAAGGCTGTTCTATACTTACTGCAGGACATTCCTCACTAACAAGCCACTTGTTAGAGTATTCTCTTCCCTGCCCAGGGCCTGCTTTCAGCAGCATCAGACAATGGTCAAGCCAAATTTGAAGCTAGAGATGGAAAAAGGGCTCCTCTCTTTTTGATGTAGTAATGTGTTGAATAGCCCTCTGTCCACAAACTCAGATCTGTACACAAAAACGGGTCACTGCATCTCCAGCATCCTCAGCACAACCCTGAGGGTTTGCATTCAGGGAGTAAATTCAATCTGAGGTTGCTCCTGAGATTGAGCTTGTGGTGAGGAGAAGTGGCTGCATAGCTGTATCCTGTCCCTTTTGCTTGTGGTTATTTTTCTGTGGCTTTGTCTAATACAACTAGGGGGAAAGGAGGCAAAAGCTTGTAGATGTTTTTCTAAGCAGAGGTGGACAAAAGGCCAGGAAACTTCTGGGGTGCCATTTTCTGTAGTTGTTACAGTGTAAAAAGAAATGTCCAGAAATTATTATAAGGTCCTTAGATGTTTGACTCCCAGACTGGCTCCTTGAGGCCATACATACCCAGACAAAGCACAGCCACACCGAGGGATGGGTTTTAGGATGGTAGGTTCAGACAATCCACAATGGTCAAGACAAAGATGCTGCATTGAAAAATTCAGAATCTGTGCTCTCATGTAGTTGTGTTTTCTGGACTCAAGCAGCTGAGAGTGAACTACCCATCCCTTCACCAGGGTGAATGAAACAGAAAGAGATTTTTTTTCCTCTCAAACAAGGACTACTTTAGAGAAGAGTTGCTGATCAGCTGAAATTGTGGATGGGCCACTGAAGACTTCTGTTTACCAATGTTTACCCACCTGTCTACCCCTCTCACCTCTACAAGACACAGAAAGGGGCCTGCAGTTCTGCAAGCCCTGTCCTTGGCATCACAAGGGGGGTTGCGATCATGGCTTCTGACCCATGAGGCAGCAAACACTCCACAAGCAGGGCTGCTAAGGAGAATGGGGGGACAGCAGAATAACAGCATGTAAATCTACAGCCATCCAGCCCCAAAATTCAAAAACTATTTTATCCAAGTCCTAAGCTGACAGAAGCTAGATGCCTCATGACTTTCAAAGCTCTGGACCTAAATCCTTACAAAAGAGTGGGGCAAGCTCTCAGCCATCCCTTTGGACTCTTTGCAAGCCAATACACCAGAATCAACACAAGCAGCAGGTAGAAGAGTCATGGTCCCTGTTGCTTGGTTCTGTGGACCTGCTCTGCTTGCTCCATAGCTATAGAGTTCAATAGGAACTTTGCCTTGGGTTCAAGGCCACCCCTTGAAGGAGCATTTTCAGAAACATCTGTTGCAGGATGTACAAATATTTGTGGATCCTGAGCCTTGAGATCAACAGCAGAGCAGAGTGTGAAGTCTGTTCTGCACCTTGGGAAGCCAAGGTTCCTGACTCCTTGCCCTGTGAAGGCAAGGCCCAGTGCAGCAAGGAGAGTCACAGCCATGGGATTTGGTTTCTGCAGAAGTTCAGGCAACATGTGAGCTTGCTGATACAGCTGAAGCATGGAGCTATGCAGTCTCCATCCACCCAAACCATCCCTGGCCGTGTGTAGCTCAGCTGCCCTGATGACAAGCAAGGCTGGCTTTCCTGATGGGAGGCCTTCAGACAGCACAGGCTGTAGTGCAATGCCATTGAGCATTTCTCACTCACTGTATCCTGGGGATGGAGGGGTGCCTTGGGAGCTTGTTTGCAACAACAAAAAAATCCAATCAGAAGGAGGATTTACACTTTTTTTGGGGTCTTTTTTAATGACTCTTCCCCCAGTGCTGCCCACTGGACATTTGATTGGCCCAGACAGTCCCTTCTTTGTGCTGCCAACTGGACCATGTGCTGGACTTCAGATCTCCCAGAGAGGACAGATGTGTGCATCAGTGTTACCTCATTAACTCATTTGTTTAAAGCCCCCAAACAATCCACTTCCATGCAGATGGAAATCCCAGCCTCCCAGTTTTCACTTAGATGTGTATTCTCCAGGGAGATACTGCAGATATGTGTTGATCTGCTCAGTTAAAAAACTTCAAACCCCTAAAATTCTGGTCTTTGACCCTACCCGAAAACTAATTTGAACTATTCTCAGCTGATCTGGAGTTGAACGGTGGCTTTTGGCTGGAAATACCTTATCTTTAGACAAGTAATCGTTGTTAATTAAACCAGTAAAAAGACATTAGCCTCTGCTTACTCAAGTTTTAGCCAGTGAATTAACAAGCAATCCATTGTGTCCTTTTAAATGAAGACATTCTCATGGAATAAGACAATCCCAGAATCAATATCCTTTTTCTGTGAGATCTGAAAAATAAACTCTGCAGCATAGAGTAAGAGTCATTTCTCTGGCACAAAGCACACATTTCTAGAACTTGCTTTCTCTCTTTAAAACAGACATACAACTCCAATTCCAATCATTATCTTAGTATATAAATTAATATCTTATACTAAGAATAATAGCATAATTATTAACATCAAATTATTATTATTGATATAATAATTTATATTAATTAATAATATCTAGCAATAGTAGATAAAAATCTGGAGCCAGTTGCTAATACAGAAGTTGCCATATGGAAAAAGAAGGGTATGCATGTGTGTGTTTGTACATGGAACCTTCTCTCACTGACATTTCTGTATGAGTAACAGTGAGGAGGTGCTGCAGTTGTTAAGTGCAGAAAGCTTGGTAGAAAATGGAAAAGAAGTAGGTGCAAGATTTGACAGTGGAAGAAAAATATATTTATGATAAAATACTTCACATTGTCTAAAAAATCTCATCTGCTTCACTGTTTACTTGCACAAAGATAACTGTGGTAATTGCAAATATGGTGATAATTCAGTGAGAAAAGCTGCTGGGGAGATGGGAAGAGGCCTGGAACAGCCCAGGTAAAACACACCCAAGATGGTGCTGCCAAGCACACACATGTGATGCAGGGAGCCCAGGAAGCACTCTTTGTTTAAAGTGTGGTATATGTACCACTGCCAAGGAGAGGATAGATGGATGTTTGGACTGATCCTGTGATGTATACATACACTTCCCCATATAAAAGTTTTCTACCTGAGGTTTGAATCGCCTAAATCATGTGTCTGTGTCAGCCTTTAACATGGGCCAGAGCCAAACACCTCCAGTGAAGTCTTATGGTTATACTTGCTGATCTTCAGTATCCACAGGCTGGATTCTCTGTGTACTGTCTTTTTTAGTGTCCTTTGCACCAGGGGAAAGTGATGCCTGCTGCAAAATGCCAGCACTTGACACCTGTTGTTTGCTATCAAAAATTTCTGTTGCAGTGTTAGTCAATAGCAAACTGATGTTTTCCCATTGACTACAAACTGGAGAAAGCCACATACAACTTAACAAATTCTACCTGTGAATCACATACAGAATCACATTTCTCATTTTACAAATTAATCCAGTAGTCCTAGATCTCTCTGATCTCTGGAACCTTCTATGAAGTTTATTCCTTCTGTAGATTCCTGAAAAAATGAAAAAAAATCCAAACCCCAATCTTTCTTTATATTTAAAATTACCATTTCCCTGTCAAACAGTACATCTTAAAAGATTGTGCAACCCGGAAAAAACATTCTGTCTGCACACAGAACCTCAACCACCTCAACCACGTCAACCACGTCAACCACCTCACTTTGTAATGAAGAAACACCAATGATTACAAGCCATGTGAAGCTGAACTTTTGCTACTTCACAGAAGTTAGCAAACTTGCTGGAGTTTCTCCCATCAAGTTTTCATGGCTGTTCTCCTTTCAAACAGTATCAATCTTTTTTTCCTTTCTCCCTCTCTGTCTGTTGTATGCAAACATGACTCCTATGACTAAATCAAGCCAGCAGAGGTACAGTACATTTTCTATGCCTTAATTAAGGTTTAAAGTTGATTCTGAAATTTCATGTATAGCAAAAAACCTGAATGTGATCCTCAGCTATGATGTACTCTTCCAGTAGAGTCTGTCATTTAAGGTACTGAGGAAAAATAAAGATGAAGAGCAGATAGAAAGAGATCAAAGGAAAATTTACCTCTACCATTAAACTCCCTCTGTGTTCCTAGTTACTGACTTTGAATGTCCCATCCAATATTTGCTAAAGAAAGCTACCAAAGCTACCTCTTTACCACCTTAGCTACAATGGGTGGGCACGTGCTTAGGGGACAGTGGGGATAAACTGGGGGAAATCAAAGCTTTGAAGTGCACAGACTCACAGCTACAGCTGAGATCTTGACCTGTCAACATCAGGCAGCTCCAGTCAGACAAGACGTGACAAGGAGATTGCACAGCCCCCTTGCAAAGAGCACCTGCACCCAGGACCTGCCTCTCTTTTTACCTAGGAGCCACCACAGCAGCAGGATGAGAGATGGGGCACAGTCTCAGCCCCCCAGATCTACCAAGTTCACAGAGAAGAGAGACACATATTAGCATTTAAATGGGATCTGCAGCATGTTTGTTGGTTTTACACATCTGGCTCAGGGAGGGCAGCAGCTTGGATGACTCCAGACAGAAAATACAGACTTCGGTGCTTCAGAGTCCCAAAGCCTCCTTCAGCAAGTGGAGTTCATAAACCTCCTGGCAGGTCCAATTATGATATCCTCACTCATAACAAGCAGTACCTTACTCCAGAGGAAATCTCTTTGATTTTTAATTTAGCCTAAGTTGTCACATAGGTGTAAGACACCAAGACTCAAAAGTTCCTGGAGAGTTAGAGAATACTGGCATTTGCATTTGAATCTCAGCTGTTGGCTCCAAGTTCAAGGGAGGATGAGGGGCGCAGTCTCCCCTCTTCTTCCTACTTACACTTCTTGCATATGTTATTTTGGCAAGAAAAGGAATTCTGGAAGAGCAACAAATGCTGGGGTAGGTCCCAATGTTTTATAAGGCTGTCATATTAAAAATGAACTTAAAATTTGATAAGTTGTTTCCTGTTTGGTTGGAGGTTTTCTGTTGTTGTTGTTTTTGTTTGTTTGTTTGTTTTAAATCAGGCACTTAATTCTTTATCTGAGTGACTGTGAAGAAGTGTAGTTACAATCTGTAATGAGTTACAGAAGAGATCCCTAGTAGTTTTCTGTGCCTGTCAGCCAAATCTCCTGAAGAGCCACTGGTTCTTGCCCTTTTAGCAAGTACAACCCTCATGTTAAGATAGGGAATGGGGCCATCAAAAAACTCTCACCACAGCCAGTAACAGTCAGAGATGGCACATCTGTCCTGACTTTGCTGCCTGCTCTACCCACCAAGGCATGCTTCTGTCTTGGATGCAGAGAGAAATTTTTGCTTTTTAAGCTTAGCACAAACCCTCAGTTTCTGTTTTTGTTCTAGCACTACATGCCTTTGCTCTTCTTTGTGGCATGTCCTTCATTCAGCCCCACTGCACCCGTGTTTCCCTGCACACAAATACCCTGTACAAGCTCCTGCTGGTGACCCAGCTGCACTGGTCAGACGGGGTGTCTGTCCAGCTGCCACTGCTGCTTTGTCCCCTGCATTCACTACAAAGGGTCTGAAAAGTTTTCTCTGCTGAATGCAAAGTGGAGAGAAATTAAATTAGTGCAAATATTAAGACAGTAGTGTGATTGCATGAATATTTAGGAAAGTGTGTGTGAATTTGATGCCCAAGTGGCCACCAAAGGAAGAGAGAAAATAAACCCTGACTACACTGCATTACAGGCTGTAATAGCTACAGTTGAGAGACTGCTTTGTATTCAAGTTTTTCAGAGGGTAATAAGGAGTCACCTGTTTGAAAAGAGATAAACAGGCTGGATCTTCAACCCTCCCATTTGGGAGCATTGATGTTTAAAGTGAAATGTTTATTGGCTCTAATGAGGTTGATGCAAAAGGGTGTTGGATATTTGCATACCAATTTCTAAACCTCCAAAAGAAAGGTGGCAATGTCTGAAAGCATAGAATGACACCCACAAGCACATCTCTGGTTTCAAAGTAGAACTGTTTAGAAAAAATTACATCTCAGATTTTATTTTTTTTTTAAGTGCAAGAGCAAAGAAATTTGCAAAGTAATTAAGAATCAAATAGCCTAAAACCATCAAGGATACTAGATTTTAAGAGTTAAAATGTTGTTGTAGGGTTCTCCAGTACAATCAACCATTAGCATTAAAAAGAAGACTTAGACACTTGCATGGTGGCAGGCAGAACAAGTGCAGCGTGTTCTTTCCTAGATAGTGAGACATACCAGGATAGAAACACTTTGACATTAGAGCATTAACAAATCTGTAAATGATTAGCCAAGAAAAGAAATCTGGCTGATTGCTTGTCAGTTCATTAACCATCCACTGCAAAGTATATGGCTATTGTCTCCTGCAGTCAGAACAGGGTGATACAATACAAATAATAAAGATAACAGCCAGAAGACCTATTTCACTATGTGGATTGTGCACTTGGTCTTGCAAATCAATTTTTGTGTATCTTGTCTCGTTTCCAAGTGATATCTTCAAGGTGAAGAGACAAAGTAACACACATCTAAAATAAATTGAATTAATCTGGAAAATAGGCTCACTACCATTTTTTGATCCAGCTCTTACATATGAAAAAAACCTAGCTCTGTGTCACAATACAAGTCTCAGTGTTTTTACCTTTTCTGTGCACAAGTGAAATTAATCTGATTCATCTAAGCATGTGTCCAGCTTTAGACTTGTGCCTAAGTCCTGTTTTTAGCTACTAAACACTGCTTACAGTACTTTGCTGAGTCAGGGACTGGTTTCAGTTCTCCCATGGATAGGCAGCCATATGCCAGGCACATTGTGATATACAGTGCTTAATTTCCCAGGGGAAAATAAACCTTGCAGAAATTTTTCTTCATCAGGCCTTTTATTAGACATTGCTAGATCTGAGTCCCAGAAGAACATGTTTTCCTTGGCTCCAATGGCATGTACCATTCCAGCAAATATAGGAATTGGCTGGGTACACTAGCACCAGAACTGGTACCAGTGCCAACAGCCAACTAGACCCTTGCTCGCATGTTTATTAACAAATGATCAGGAAAATATGTGATCACAACATATTCCTATTCAACTCAAGGAAAAACCAGACTCACTCCTGAAAGGACACTTCTTATGATCTTTGTGCCTTGAAATGCCACACTCTCCCAGGAGCACTCTCTCTTTCCCACTGGTGAACAGGCAGTTGCTGCTGGTGTAGGATGATATACTTGATGGAAAGCTGCTGACTGCTGAGACATAGGTGACTGCCCCTTCTCAAGATCATGCTTCTCTTTTCTTCCATCTTCCATCATACGTGTGCAGTAAGATTTTTTGAGCCAGGGTTTTTCTTGCCATATTCATGTGTAGCAGCTACACTGGATCATGGTGTCCAGAGAGAAAAATCCAAACCAGTTTAGATCCTGATGATTTATTTCTTACCCTAATGCTGAGAAAATTATTTGTCTTCCTGCTTTTCCACCTTTCCTTAACTCATCTTGAGAAGAACTCATATCCTGAGATACACTTGCATTCAACAGGCCAAGGGAAGGGATCTCCATCATAGACCACTTTTAACACAGGTTCACTTTGATACACCATAATTGTAATTGTAATTTTAGAGTCAGTCAACTCCCTGGCTTTTTAATCTACAGATTACCTTGCTAAGCCTTACCTGCCTCTCAAAAAGTGATACAGATGGCCAGAATTTTCAAGGTTCTTACTGATTTTCCAGTGAAAAGGAATTTACACAAGAGCAGACTTTGTTTATCACCTATACATGATCTATACATAATTATCTTTCTTATGGTTAGCACATACAAGGTGGAAGAAATCTGCCAGCTGAAGACAAATGGAATGCAGCAATAAACCAACAATCAACCTCTGAAAAAAGCTTTTGAAAGAGGGATCCGCTTGTGGACAGAGAAAAAAATTCAGCTTAAATACAGCAAAACAAAAACAAGGTAAAGATTACCCTTAGGGAGGATGGACTCCTGGGTGATAAAAGTCCTGCTTGGTCATAATTAGGAGCTGCTGCAGGGCAGAAACAAGAAGCCAGAGGGGAAGAAAGTGCTGCTGCAGTCCACTTTGCTGCTGGGAGAAAAAAAACACCCATGGAATCATTCATCCCCAACTGCTTCAGTACCTTTTCAGGCTGAGACAATTCTTACATTGCCATCTAAGTTACCTTTTTAAACACAAAACAGAGTAAATCCTGTCCTCTAGAGTTCCTTAGGGAGAAAGACAATATTGCTAGCACAAAAGCTTTCAATGGGTTTTAGGTGACTTTCATCTGTCTGGGAAGACATCTATATAGGATTGATCATAGACCAAACAGACTCTGTGTCTGTGCAGACTCCTGTGTTACTACTCAGGCATTAAGGAATTAAGGCCTGATCTGGAATACAAAGTTAATCACATATTAAGTCATCTTCAACATGTGGAATTTTTTTTTTTGTGTGCTCCAGGGTTAGCATAGTCCAAATCAAATAATTGATAAAATTTAGTACTAGTCCTAAAAACACTGAGCAAGTCCTGTTGATCCCATACTCCATGGGGCTGTGATTTCAGAATACAGTGTCTGGCCACAAAACAGGCTTATGGTATTGCTGGAGTCCCATGCCATGGCTTTGCTCTTCTTTTCCCTCCAGCTGTGGCTCCTGATTTCTGCCCTGACACAGGGAAGAAGTAATCAGGCTGGGATGTCAGAGTATACATCAAACCATGTTAATATGACCAGTATCTTCATGCCTAGACATTGCTTACTGAACCAAATGATTTATGAGGAAGAAAGAAGCAAGATGCATAAGCAAATAATATCAACACATAAAAACAATGGCACACACATTGCAAAGAAGGCAAATGTATCAGACCAAATATGGTTATTGTCTCCATATCTCAAATATTTCTAATCTAAGACCTTATAAAAATAAGCCTGTTTCATCTCTACCAAAACAGCTTCCTTCAACACTGCAGGAAAAAAAATCCCAACTTTGAAAAAGAGTAACACAAATTAAATTGTGTACACTGCAGAGATTTATCAATCTGTGTCACCAAGGTTGAAGAAAAACACAGACAAGCCATCTTTATCTAACATGCTGTAGTGAGAGAATTGTCATTGTCTTTGGGTTCTTTTATAAATAAAATAAATATAAAAAGACAAGTAATTTTCTCACCTAATTTTCCTGTAGAACTGATAATTAAGTGTTGTTGGCTGCATCACCAGCACACATTTGTGATAGTTGATTTAGTGTCTCTGCACATTTAAAAGCTAAAAATTTTCTTGTTTGCTGAATAAAAATACCTGTTTTGTGGCCTTTTCTCTCCTTCAAGTAATAAGTCAGCTTTATTTTTTTAAAACTTGTCATCAGTGAAAAGTGTTGCTTTTTCAAAAATCCTTCATGTGTCTAGGACCTCACTGGAAGGTAATTGCTGTGTATGTTGTAGAATGACTCCCAATATATTAATAAGGATATGTTAGCCCATATATTTCAAAAATATATATTACAAAGACAGCAGCTTGAACACAAGTTCAAAATTTAGAGAGACAAACCTCTGGGTAGAAGTCCTTAACTCACTTGTGATGTTTTGCACATCCATTAATTTATCTTCTTAAGTGGGAAGTGCTGAAACTACAGCTAAGACAATACTGGACTTTGGAATAAATCACCACCTATGTGGGAAGAACCTGGGGCTTTCCTCACAAACGTATCCATCCTTTTAGCGTGGTTCATTCTTCCCACAGAAGCAGCAGCCTGGCAATATTGTATTGCCCAGTCAAAGCTTCATGGCTAAGAGCTATGCAAAAGGAAGACAAACAGATTGGACACAAAAAGAAGGTTTAACTTAAGGTGCCCAAGGTGGAAATAGACACACAGCATCTTTGACCAAAAGCTTTTGCACATCCTCAGAATTAGGTACAGCTAAGAGAACTCCTCTGTTCTTGACTCTTCATTTCTCAGTGGCCTCAGCTCTGGCTCTGAAGACAAATCCTTCACACTGTGATGTTAGAATGTGTCTGGAAGTGTCTGGCACTCCCCTCTGACCACACTGACTGACAGGCTTTCAAGAAAAACAATGTCTCCATGCAAATCGAGGGCCCCAACACCTGTGCCAGGGCATCCTGTGCCTTGCTTGTAAGCACATGCTTTTCATTTTGTTCCACTTATCTTGGTACGAAAAGAAAAAATAACCCTCCCCCAAGAGATGACATTAAAATAAATTGTGTTTAAACTGAAACCAAATACTTGTACAGTTTTCCCCAGTGTGAAACTTGTTTTATGTTAAACCATTGAAACTTTCCTGAGTACAAGAGGCTTTGAAGAATGCCTACATACTTACCCATGACACTGCAAATTTCAGCAATACAGTAACTCCCACATCATGTACATAGTAGCACAGTGCTTGCAAAATTGCTGTCATTTACCAGTCTCTGTACCTAATCAAAGCCTGCACACACACACACACAAAGCTATGACCAGAGCTAACAACATGCCATGGGGTCATTTTTGCCACTCTGAGTTAGCAAGAGACATTAAAGGAGATATTAAAAAAGCCTCCCTTGAAATGGCCATGTAGCCACAAAGCTAGAAAAATTGCATCATATGTTCAAGTTTTCTTATGAAAGTAAATAATGAAGTCCAAAGTCCTAATTTAACTATCTTAGTAGGATCAATGTTGTTTCTGCAAACTCTATTGCCTGAATATTGCACTGTAAATCCTGGAGGACTTGTTAGCCCCTGCAAATCCCTCTGGGGCGATTTATGAGGTTTATTGTTGTATGACTGTATATGGAGGCATTAGGAGAGATGGGAATTGTGTCCAAACATTTACCACCACAGTTTGCAACCTGGAAAATTAAACTGCTATCAATCCCACCTAATGTTAGTATTCCAGCCCCTTGGCAATGGTATTCTGAGCAATCCAGTATTTATTTACATATATGGTTTTCATTTTGGCAATTAAATATCAGGGACCCTGAACTGAAGCCACAGCTGCCTGCAAGGCCAGAAAGCCATTTTGAAAGTAGCAACTGGCATGGGCTGAGCATGGGACCCATTTCTCATCTGCCCAGCTTTTACCTGTGCTTTTTTTTAATCTGTGCCACTGAGCCTCAGTGTTGGTGTGTGCAAAGCCCTGGCAGCAACATAACATTCACCAGTGATGTTTCAAAACTCAGTTTTTTCAAGACTTATCTTGCCATCTTATAAATTCCAGATAACATTTTAAAAGGCATTTCTAATGAAGGGCTTATTATTTCCCAAGTAGAGACAGGCAGCCCCAGCTTTAGCCTTTCTGTGTCTTGCCTTTTTCCTTATCACTGTTGTGTAACAACCCAAGAGATACATGACATTTATCACAACAGTTCTCATCCATTCACCTGACAATTAGAAATGCCCAGTGGATGGGCCGGAGGCCTGATATTTATGTTTGTATTTTTGAGTTTCAGCATTTCTGTAACCCTTCGTTTCCACTAGTACAGCCAAAAGTCAGCACTCACTTCAGACAGCAGGCACATCCACATCACTAAAACACAGGATTGAGAAGGAGCTTGGGTATGAACTCTGGTTTGTGTAAAGAAACACTTTCACCTGTATCTTCTGCCAGTTGCACTTACCACCAGGAAAGGTTTGTCACAATCTCTTCTCCCTCTTGGAAGACAGACATGAGTGTAGGGCAGCAATGAAACCTGCTGTTTCTTTGCCTATGGACAGCTAAGGTTAGATCCTGCTCACAGCAAAACCAGATTGCTACTGTTTAAGAAAAAACACCCTGACTACACTTCTAAACAAATGATAATTTTTTATTTTTTTTTTTAATACCTGGAAAATTTTATTTCCAGGCCACCACATCTCCCCACTGGTGATGAAATTCCATTTGCAACCCATTGCTCATGACCGCCATATATTTTTAGGTGCATCACACAAGCACACCATGCTCAAGTAAATTAGGATGACTAGAATGTAAATAAACAGAGTGATTTAGGGCAGAATTTAAATTAAATGATAAAAATTATGATGTGCTTATGGCTAGATCTAGAGCCAACCGAGCTACTAAGTTCAATATTCCTGAACTTATTTGTAGAATAAGTAATTATAAGAAAGGCAGGTTCTTGCTTAGACATGTCTGCAAATAATGAAACATCACTAATATGCAGGAAACTTGTTACATTTTGATGGATTTGATTTTTGAATACCAGGCTTGGTTTCTTGCTTCCCAGTCTCTGCAGCCCTGCCACCACCACTAGTTGCAGGAGAGGCGGTTTCGCAGACAGTGGCATTCCCCTGCAGAGGCTGTAACACCACACTGCCCAGAGGCACGGCGTGTTGATTGAAGCATGGTCTCTATGTGTCATGTGTCAAGGATGATATGTCACCAAATCAGCCTTGCATCTCTACGCAAGGTGTTGAGATAACACTATCAAATCATGGCCTCGTGACTGTTTCTTAGTGTCTAATATAACAAATGACTATAAGCTCACTCTGGATTAATGTCGGTGTCATGAATGTTTACTAATGCATATCAAAGCTGGGATCAATGCCAGGAAAGGATTTTAAGTGTAAGTTTACAATGAAACACAGAGCTGACTTCCCCCCTCCAGCACAAATTACAAGCAAGTTTACACTGCATTGTGCAAGGGCAGAGGGCAATATTCCTGACACATTATTGAGAAAACAAAGCTTCCCTTCCTTTTTTTTCTGTAAAGGAATAACTTAATTTTGGTTATATTGGTTGTGGGGAAGATGATCTGGCTTGTCAGTAGACTGGCTACACTTCTACTTACAATTCTCCCTGAATGACCCAACATCATTCAATTGGACATTTTCACATATATTTCACTTATGTTTTTATCATGTTCCACAGCTGGACATGTCCTCCCTGACCCATGAAAATTGTCCATGTTTGTGTCCAGTGTTAGTGTAGCAAATGCAGCAGCATGCCACCATCTGTGCTCATAGGAATTCCCACCATGTCCCACCAGGTTCCCCCTAAGCAGCTGGTGTTTTGCAGGGTCCCATAGCTCAGAAGTGAATGCCAAAGGATGCAATTTGAGGGCTATATGCTGTTGCATTCAATTTTAATGTTTTGTCATTACTGCTTTGAAGGGCTCTGCAAGCTTGCCTTAATGGATTGCTTTTCTTCATCAAATGCCAATATTTATTTTAACAAAAGGGTTTGGAATAAATAGGTTAGAGGGAGAATCCTCCACTTTTAACTCCTGATTCCTGGAGGAAAGGAGGAAATTCCTACTTCTGCGTTGGAGCCTAAACTCTGTAAGGGCAATTCCTGACCTGCTGGACATCACAGCAGTCTGTTATACAGGGCCTTCAGCCTACTCCTCAGCAGGCAGCAGCACTGTGGGGTGTTTTGTGGGGCCAAGGCATATGAGAGACAAATGACAGACTCAATCCCTTCACCTTTCATGCAGCCTCTCTGCAGCCAGGTAATACATCCTTTTGCATGTGCTAAAGCTGGCCTAAAATGGCTGGAACCCCTTGCCTAGCAGCATTTGGTGGGCAGTGCTGGCATACATCACGTCAGGCTGCACATGGGTGAGGCAATGCCTGAGCCTCATGCACATCTGTAGGAACCTGAGCACTGATATCTCACTTCAGCCTCATCCCAGATATGTGTTTGTGCACGTATGTATTTTCACAGCCTTACAAATGGACAAAAAATATGGTTCTTTCAATCAGTGACAGTGTCACAAGGAAGTGGCAGACTTGGGACAACAACACTGCAGCTCCAGTCTATCAGCCTGGGAAGCCCCTGCCCCGTGCATCGCTACTTGCAGCTGATCTCAACAGGCACATCCCACTCTTCTCTTGGGTCCTCACCATTGCAGCAAATCCAAGAAAACATGTGTAAGCTGGACCTCTGGGAATTACAGACATCTAAAGCACACTGGGTGTAGCAGGTGTTACTGCCCCTGCCTTTCTGCTCTCACCCCAAAAGCAAGCAGCAGATGCTGACTCACACCTCACCAGCTCCCAGGTTACAGCCAGTGAGGACGGAGAAAATCAGCTTGCAGAGAGGGGATGGCGTGTGAAGTGTGGCTGCAAATACGGGTCTCACCCTAGTGCTGCCGTGGCCAGGGAGCCAGCCAGGGCAGCAGAGCAGGACAGCAGCAGCCTGTGCAACCCCACACACTGCTGTGGGCAGCTCTAAGGCCCAGGGCTGAAGCGAGTTTCTGGTTTAAGGCAAGATGCTGTAGTGATGAAGGTCCTAGCTAGCAGTGTAGCTGCATGCTGCTCTGAGCCATCATCCAGCCTGGGCAGGCTTCCTTGCCTGTTACTGATTAATGCAGCAGCTTGCCACAGCCCCATGCCTTGGTGTTCCCATCTGTAACCCAGAGTCTGTAAAACTTCCCTTCCTTCATGGAACACTGCAAAATGTTTGGACCCAAAGCTCTAGCTAAGAGCCAGCATTACTGGTGTTCACCTGATGATGATGAAGGTAAAATTGCAACAACCTCGAACTTAGGGGGAAGAAGGGAAGAAAACCTCTTCTGTGGATTCATGCTAGCACCACAGCTGAATGCACAAATGAAAAAGACCTTCATTTTGGAAAGAGTGGGCACACTGAGGCCATTGTACGGCAAAGTAAAACAGCTGAGCTGTGACCAGCTAGCAGCCACAAATGGCAGCCACAGCTTCCCCACTCACAGCAAAGCATCATTCACTGAGAGGAAGCAGTGGCTAAATGGCCCTGAAAGAATCCAAGAAGCAAATTCTGAGCTGATAGCCAGCCTCCTTTGCTGTCAGCAAGGCAGTGGCACAGGAGAAGCTGGCTTCTGATGGGATGGGCACATGGGCTGGGTGCCTCCACATGGCACCAAGGGGAGGGCGGCAGAGCCCTGCTCTGGGAATCACCACGATTAGAAATGACTGCTTGTCCAAAGTATTAAGACTATCACTTCAGCTGCTCTTCTCTGATATACTGTGGTTTCTCTATCCAGCACCTGAGTAAATCAAGCACAGGGAACACCAGAGGTTGCACGATGTTTTTATCTATTAACGTCTTTGCAGCACCCCTGGGTTTAGAGCAACTAAACTTATGATTGCTAACAAAAACAGCAGTTTATAATCCAGACTGCCCAAATCAGAAGAGTACAAAACTTGAGCCTCACCCCCCGCTTTAATTTCCTTCAGCAATTTATCACCTCTTTGCAGCTCACACATACAGAACAACCAGAAAAATTTCTTAACACCCCTTTGGCAAGCCACATGGAAGCAACTGCCACAGTATTTTTTTATTATTGTTTTCAGGGCCTATGGCAAAGAAGACCTAAAAAAAAAAGGCACCCAAACTAAACTAAGAAAGAGAAAAAAAATTAAGTACTTACCTTCCACAGGCAAGACACATACAAAGAGTGTGAGAATCCACATGAAAGGGCAAAATATTTCTTTTCAAACAGTATTTCCTGGAAAACATATTGAGAATAGTGTCACCTCCAAATACGTATTTACACTACCTACATACAATATGTTTGTCCGTGCATCTATTATATATTTATACAAATTATTTTAAATGCAGTAGAGAAGGTGTTGCTTGAACTTTCACGTAAGAGCAGGAAAACGGGGAGTAAAATTCACTCCCGGCTCCAAATCCACTAGCACTGCATATTAATTTAATACTTTTTTGTATTCTATTGCTCTGGTCTTCCATTAAAATCTCAGACCAAACTCAGGCAGCCTGTGTAATTTCAGGACAGATGGAATTGCCCTTGTTATTTCCCATTCACACAGCAAAGGATTCTCTAATGAGGTGAGTACTTGGGGCTTGGGTTTTTGCTGCTCTGTATCCTAGATTCTCATTTTACAGTGCTGTGAAGTGGTGGTAAAATGATGCCTTACTAAATGGTATTATTTTACACCACTAACCCAACTCTTCAAAGCAGTGATAATGACTATGCAGAGTGCAGAGCCAGAAGAATCAGACCTTAGGTGTTTATGGCCAGGAAAAGTGAGCAGCACAGCTCTCCATACTTGCAGCACTGCAGCCCTGCCACGCAGAGGCTTGTGCAGCTCGTTCAGTTCTCTGCATGATCTGCTTGTAGCCATGCAGCCTTCATTGGACTAGGGTGATAGCTATGCCTTCTCATTTGCTGTTTCAATGACAGGTTTTGTGGCCAGGACTTGATGTCAAAGGTCTCACCATGACCAGCTCAAGGATGCATTTAAGTCACATTAAATCCTAGAAACAAATCCAGTCCAGCTTTGAGATCACCACACAACAGACATGTCATCACCTGCTCTGGGGCTTGTAACCCTTTGATCACTGAGATTTCTCCCTTGCATCCCACACAAGTGGTTAAATAATTCTCTTCACTCAACCTTGTCATTCTTAACTCTGTGCTTTGCTGAGGTGCATTTTCACAAAACTACATCAAAAGGCAACAATGTTATTCGCAATCCATTCTCCTTCATCAGGTCTGCTCCCAGAGCACCAAGCAGAAACACCCCACCATTTCTGCCTGTGTCTGTTCAGAGGTTCTTGTCTGACTTTCAAATCACAAGTTCTCCAAGGAGGGGAGTATCTTTCTTTTGGGAATCTACCAGTCTGCTGGTATAGTGGAGTCAACCTGAGAGCAAACACAGACCAATCTTTCATCTCTTATACAGAGAGCATGTAGAAAAAAGGAATTCTGCCCAAATCACTTCAACTAGTCTTCTCTGGAAAGTTTTGTTACACTACACAGTGAACATTTTACATGGTACAGGTAATGGTTCCCATTACCCTTTGTCTTGAGACTCTTTTCAAACACCACGTCTACTGCAGAGGAAAAAAGCATTCATGTAGCTGCATTTTGCTCCCACAGCCTCTCAGTAAGTGGCAAATCCCCTCTCTTCTATCTGTGCCCTTGATGGGCTTGCAGAGCCCACTGAGAGGAGGCTGACATGCAATCCACAAAGTGCCAGCATGGCAGTTCCCTGCTGTGCCCTATCTCCTGCACACACAGAGACATTTGCCAGCTTGGGGCAGTGGTCTGTTGGCACTGGGGTATCAGTTCCTCCTTTCAAAAACAGGAAATATAATGGATGTGTTATTTTTCTTCCTGGGAGCACTTACCTACTGATGGTCCTAAAGCACTGTTAAACACTGCCCAATTTGCTTACAGACAAGTTTTCCTCTTAAGTCCCATGTGCTTTGTATTATAAATATGTGTGTGCACGTTAATTTCTACTGCTAATACCAGAGGCACAAGGGAGTGTACATGTGTGCAGATGGATGATGCTTGCACAGTAAACCCTATGCAATCCATAATAGAATATGCTACCAGTCAGTCCTTGTGTCACTTCAGATCTGCCTTTTTCTTTTCTAATACTACAATATAGTGTAGTATATGCATTTCCAGAAGTTCTTCCACAGAACACAGGATTTCTTTGGAGAAGGAGAGGGATTTATCTACTTGATGTTAGGCATCTAATTTACTTCTAAGCTGCCTGCCTTAAATTCTCTTTATGAAGGCTTCTAAACCTGGTTTACTTCTGTCTTCACTTCAGACTGATTTCAGAATAATTATTATTCCTGAGTTTAGAGTGAAAAATCAAACAATGTAATTTTGCTGCAATGCAAACTCAGAGTAACTGACCCCCTGGGGCAGGCTTAGTGAGGGATTTGATCCCATGCATCAGGGAAGAGGGATATCACCATGTGGCCAAGTGGCAATGGTCACGAGATAAGTATGGAGAGGCAGGAGGCAGTCCTCAACACCTCCAGGTGCTCAGACCATACCCATCACTGCTGTTGGCAGGAAGGGTCACTGGAATTGTCACCAGTTTGGAAACAGACAACTCTTTATGACTACCCATGGGAATTGATACAAAAATGGCTTATAACCAAAAATTCAGTAGTGCTGCAAAAGGTGGATAAATTTACACTAGAAGAAAAAGATCCGGTAACATTGGCTGTGTTCTCCACCAGAGGAATGGCTTCTGCCTCCAGGCTTCTGACAGTGTAGCTCACAGGGACACCTCAAACTAAAGAAGCTGTACTAGCCATTGCTTTTACTTTTTCCTTAATATAACTGCATCCACAAAAGGCTTTTGGTAGTATAGAACTGCGGTTTAAAAAAAATCACACTTCAAATCAAGAGTATTTTTCTGGTAAAAGTTGCTGGAGTGTGATCTTTAAAGCACTTTACACTTGTGATTCTCCTCTGTTGTGCTCATCCCACACTACAGCACTGCAGGAATCAGGAGCACTCACACAACATCAGTAGGCAATCTTCCCCAGTCACAGCATGTGCCCAAAGTGTATATTAAACACCCATCAATATTTGGCACAAGGACACTATTTGCCATCCCACTGTCACCAAAAGACATTTCAGCTTTAAAGCCCTAGCTGTACAGGTTTAAATTAAACCTGCACCTATACAGCTTTAATTTCAATCTGCCAGGGACTGCTTTTGGCCACCGAGGCCAGCCAGCACAGTATGGCCTGTGTCTATGCTACCGGCTGCTCTCCTTTTCCAAAACCTGCCTCCGGTCTGGTCGCTGGGAATGGCCCATGCTGGCTCCCAAGCACTGCCTGCGACCTGCTGGGAGGGCTGCTGCCTGCTTGGACCAGGTAACAGCACAGATGACCGAGTTCCCATCCCAGGGATTTTCCCTGCCGCTGTTTTTTGACTCAGATGGACGCAGACAAGGCGTCTGCACAGACTGCAACACGTGCTGAAGATCTTCGCTTACGTTACTGCACAGAAGGATTAGGACTCCATAGGTTTGGATCATCAAACAGTCCTCACAAAGAACAGTACAGCAAAGCATATACGCATATGCTTGGCTATGAGTCAGGCAGAATCTGGGATAAAGAATCCTCTTTCTGTGCTTTTCCATAGCAAAGTGGAAGACCAGTAGGAAATGCAGATCCTCTGGATGCCTCCTGCAGCTTTGCAGCATATGTGTGGTAGTCATCATGATGTCCACACAGTATTTAACCAGAACCTGCCCACTCTGAGCATGAAGATGGTGACCCTGTAGGTCTCTCATATCCCCTCAGTGACTTGACATATCTCTCAGTGACTTGACAGCTCTTTAGAGATGAGGAAATGGAGAAACCACAGAAGAATACAATAGTAAGGAAAGCTCTCCAGGGGAAAATATTGATTTTTACTAGAGCAATTAAGACAGCTGGAAAGAATAGACTTTAAAGAAAATAACTTTTAAAAACTGATATTTCTGAAAGGTTATTACTTTACTCCAACTATCACTTGAGCTAGTAACACAAATTGTCTCCCCTTGCAATTTTCCTTAGACCAGCCTAGCTGTTACTGTTAAAATTACTCTCACTCTCTGCAGAGGAGTGGATCACCTAAAAGAACCAAACCTACTGCTCCAAGACATGATGCAAACACTTCATACCAGTGCCAGAGCAATCTGCCTCCCTTTCCATGGCATAATCCCATGAAACCAGAACAACTTGAGGATTAAGCAGCCCAGCTATTAAAATACCCATGTCTAAAGCAGGGAATAACTTCCCAATCCATTGTGTGAGCATCATGCCTGCAGATAAGAAAGTCCTACTGGTTGGACAGACATGAGATTAGATTAGATCAGATCAAATTAGATTTGATTAGATCAGAATTAATTCAACATGGGTGCTTTATTATCTCTTGACAAGGTTCTTGCTCTTGTACTGGGTTTTTAGGAAGCCATGAAACATCTTGAAGGTTTAGAAAATATAAATACATTTGTATTTTGCCCAGAATTTGTGATTTGTTATTGTTAAAGATTTAAGAGGGGACTGAGGTGTAAAACTAAATTTTAATCCCATTCAAGACAGATGTACTGTATTACCACCACTGTTGGAAGTGCTAATGACAATACCACGTGGAAAATTTTTAGCTGGGAAGAAGAGATGCACCTGCAATTTAAGAGATAAATAAACAGTACACGTTTAAAGATTCTCACAGTAAAAAATAAATACCATCGGAATACAATGATTCCTCTCTCAGGACATGGTTATTTGTTTGCACCATGCAAAAGCAACAACAGTGTAATACTCTTAAGTGAAATAGCTGCTATACTTCTGTTCTGGAGGTATTTAGACCAAATTTTTGCATATCCTCGAAGTCTGAATGAATCACTGAACTACTGGAAACGTTTAGCATTGTGCAGAGTAAGTGTTGAGCTCTTATTTACTCATGACAGGATTCCTCAGCCTCCCCTTGCTCTCCTTTTCTTCTGCTGAAGTAAGGGCTCAAGTCCAGACACCTTAGGTTCTCTCAGCAGGCCAGAAGACTCACTGCTCTCTGTGTATATGAGGGGAAATACCATGCTTCAGGTTTTCACTTGGGAGCCTTCAATGAAGAGTTGAGAGAAAAGGCAAAGTGGACACTTCTCATTAGGGAAAGAAGGAACACTGAACATTCTGAAGGAAATTTGCTTTATATACTTTTTATATATTTAAAAAACTATA